AGACATAATCCCCTCACTAGGTCTATTACTACTAAAATTACACTCCATATATTCCGTTTTAGATCTACTCAAGCGAAAACCTTTAGACTCTAAGGTTGACCTCCATAATTCAAGTTTACCTTCAACTCCCTCTCTAGTCTTATCAACAAGAAGAATATCATCAGCAAAAAGCATACACCAAGGTACATTCTCTTGCAAATGTCTCATTATTGTTCGACAAGTTTTACGCTGGCTGTCGACTACCTAACGCAACCCTCCACTTTTCTCATCCAGGACTTGGGACCTGGCAACGGCAGTGTTAAAACCCTAAAATTACTACAATAACTTCATATCAAAATAATATTCTGATTTAATAACAAAATATTATTAAAAACCTTATGAGAAGAAATTCACTTACAATTTTCGAATGGAAACTTCTCAAACTCCCAAAAATCTTTTCTCTCACAAATTCCTTTTTCTTCTCTTCAATCGTTTCCTTATCCTTCAAGAAACATATCGCTCACTTTAAACGAAGTAGAAGAAGAAATTTATATAAAAAATTCCAAAAGAAATTCAACAAACCTTCTTCTTTTAATCATTCTCGTTCGTTTATCTTGTTCTTCAAATCTCACCCAAAATAACACTTTGATAACGATAAGAATAAAAATGAATCGCTATTTCTTATCCTAGAAGGCAATCATTTGCTAAAATTGGAGAAAGAAGAAACCTACCTTGCTCTCGCGTGAAGCCCGACCGTCCGCCCTTCTCTGTTCGCGAAACTGCTTCTGTTTCGCGAATGGCTTCGTTTGCTATTAGTATAGGTTCGGCCGGTTCAACTGAACTGGCCGGGGCCGAACCGGTTATTACAATCTCTCATTCTTATAAAAAGTTTGTCCTCAAAATTAAATTAAGTAATAACACATACCTTAGTTAAATAGATGAGGAATATTGACTTCTCATTTCAGCTTCCCGCTCCCTGGTGGCATCTCTTTCTGATCCATGCTTCCATAAATATTTACAAAAGGTATTTCTTTATGCCTTAATTGTTTTACGTCATAATCCAATATCCTTTCTGGTTCTTCAATATATTTCAAATCAGGCTGCAAATTAATTGATTTGGACTAGATTCTCTTTGAATCATCTGAGACATACTTTCGAAGCACTGATATATGAAACACATTATGAATTCCTTGCATATGTACTGGTAGATCCAATCTGTTTGTCTTATTTCCAATCTTTTCAATGATTTCATAGGGGCCTATGAATCTTGGGCTCAATTTCCCTGTCTTTCCAAACCTTTGAACACATTTCATTGGGCTTACTTTTAAGAAAACAAATTCTCCTACTTCAAATTCCACTGGTCGGTGCTTTGCATCATAATACTTTCGTTGCCTGTCTTTAAATGCCTTTATTCTATCTCTGATCAATCTGATTTTACTAGTAGCTTCATCCACCAGTTCAGTTCCAATTATCTTTCTTTCACCAGTTTTTGCCCAACACAAGGGTGTTCTGCACTTTCTTCCATAAAGGGTCTCATATGGTGCCATTCCAATGCTAGCTTGAAAACTGTTGTTGTAAGCAAATTCAATCAATGGTATGTGAGTCTCCCAATTTCCTCCAAAATCTAAAACACATAGTCGCATTAAATCCTCCAAAGTCTAAATTGTTCTTTCTGATTGCCCATCTGTTTGTGGATGAAATGCTGTACTGAAAGTCAGTCGCGTGCTCATAGCTTCCTGAATTTTTTTTCATTTTGATTCTTGTAATCAATAAGATATTCATTTCACATTAAACCTTCAATCATTAATATTCATGCTAATGGCTCTTTTAGTATGATTCAGATCTTAATTGAGCTCTGATACCACTTCTAATATATCTCTGATACCACTTTTGTCACGACCCGGCCCGGATGCTCGATCTAACAAGGCGGTTATGAAAAGTCGGACGATAAAATTCATTAAACACTATACTACTTCATTTGTATTAAAGAGCCACTAACCACAAAATATAAATTACTTGTTATCATTTGCACGTCGTCTTTTGTAAACATGTTCTTCTCTTTCAGCCATTATTTCTTTAGAAATTTACCTGAAACATTTAAACTTATGGGTTGAGTTTACTTAGTAAACTCAGTGGGTAAATATTTGAACAATTTAAATAATTATTCTTAATTATGATACTCTTATAATCTTCAATATGTATTCAACCATTTCTTAACTTTATTCCATTTATTTTGGTAATTTATACATATTCGATCATGTTGCTTTAAAACATTTAAAATCATATTGATATTTCCTTTTCCCATTTAATTTGCACAGGAGCACCGTCTCAATGTACTCAAAAGTACAACATTTTCCATTTAGCCTTTTCCATTTCCTTTTTCCTTTTCCTTTTTACGTGCACGAGTACGGCGTCTCCAGCCAGTACCATAAGGGGGTGAACTCCTGTAAGTTTTTCAATATCTTTTCCTTGTTATTATATCTGTTTTTCTTCCATGCATATAGTCTTTTGTTTCTCTTTTTCTTTTCTATTTTCTCTTTTATTTTCTCTTTTTATAAACTTTCAAACTTTGTTCTTAAAGCCATGAAATCATAAGATATCATACAAAGTTTTATCAGTTACTTAGAAGATTACAAACATGAATAAAATCATAAAATAATTTAATCTAATTTACCCACTTTGAACTCTTTCAGGTCTTCAATATTTGATATATCCTTAAAAATTTTCCTCCATGTTGAATCCTCGCAATTTAAGTCTTACGATTTGATCTCTCCCTTCCTAAGACCCTAAAATTCCTACAATGACTTCATATCAAAATAATATTCTGATTTAATAACAAAATATTATTAAAAACCTTATGAGAAGAATTTCACTTACAATTTTCGAATGGAAACTTCTCAAACTCCCAAAAATCTTTTCTCTCGCAAATTCCTTTTTCTTCGCTTCAATCGCTTCCTTATCCTTCAAGGAACATATCACTCACTTTAAACGAAGTAGAAGAAGAAATTTATATAAAAAATCCAAAAGAAATTCAACAAACCTTCTTCTTTTAATCCTTATCGTTCGTTTCTTTTGTTCTTCAAATCTCTCAAAAAATAACACTGATAACGATAAGAATGAAAAGGAATCGTTATTTCTTATCCTAGAAGGCAATCATTTGCTAAAATTGGAGAAAGAAGAAACCTACCTTGCTCTTGCGTGAAGCCCGACCGTCCGCCCTTCTCTGTTCATGAAACTGCTTCTGTTTCGCGAATGGCTTTGTCCGTCTATTAGTATAGGTTCGGCCGGTTCAACTGAACCGGCTGGGGCCGAACCGGTTATTACAGGCTATTTTGTCAGTTTTTTTTTTTTAATCAAACACAAGATGAGTTTGCTGCATTTAAAAATATTGAAATTGTATAGAATCATAAACTTGCTACTGATTATAGGTGAATTGCTGATTGATGTATTCTGCCAATGGAACCGTCAATGCAAGTTGCCTTGATGTCTGCAAACGAACAAACATGCTCATAAATAAAGTTTGTTTAATTTGATTATCATAGGCAATTTTAAAGATTTAGTGCATTATAACTAGATTACGTGATCAGATTTCGTTAGCTAACCTTAAGCTGTAAAGAAGAATTACTTCCCAACTTAGGTGTTCATTGAAATGTTATTTATTAGTGAAGCAGTCATATGATATTTATTAGTGAAGCACTCATCTCTTGGCCATGCTGATTGACCGTAAAACAAATAAAAATTATAAATCGCCTATTAGTGGATTTGTAAGAATCAAACAATCACAAGCTGTATAGTGTAATTTAATCTTTTCTGATGTCGATTTGACTGACCAGTTTAATAATATAGCAATAAATCATCAACTTCTTAGTTTTTACATAGTTTGGACAACATTGAACATAGCACGACTAAGTTAGATTGACTCCTATGACTTTTAATGGATTTTGAGATGTGAATATTCCTGAATATGATTTATAAGATTTTGGAACTGTCTTTTAAGTTGGATAATCGAGTGTAAACAGTGGCTTGTTAGATTTGATGGAAACTTTCTCTAGGTGAACATGAAATTTTTTGTGGTTGCTGAATTGAGTCAGCTTTATCAATGAAGAGTTTGATTTCTCATAATTGCTTTTAGAATTGCAAAATTGATCTTTATGAACAAGAAGTACTTTATATGCTTGCAAACATGCATACGTGACCTGAATTTAAAAAGTGCAAGTTCATCAGATTAAATGATGAACTTTTTTTTAGATCAAATCCTGCTAGAAAAAAAAAAATTAACAATGGTTGAATGTAGAACATATTATGTCCTTGTTCCTATTGTTAGGGAGTTGCATGAATTAGTTGCAGATAAGAAAGCTTTAGCCTTTCTATTTAAGTTTTACTTCATAATGGCACCCTTCATTCTTATTTGCATTACCAATATTTACTTGTAATATCATTATTTTAAATTTGTAGAAACTTTCTGGGGCAAACCCTGAACTTGCATTGGTGGTCTTTAATTCCCATGGACCCTACAGTGGTATGTAATTTTATTCTTACGGTACAGTTATGAGTACTTAAAGCTAAACTGTCATATGAATGCAAAGTAAATAAACTCTTTTATTTCTTTATTTCACATTTATAGTAACAGTCTTATATGCTACATAAGTCCTTATACATATTTGATGTTTTTGCTTCTTGTTGCTGATGTTAGTAAATGCTATGTATAATCCACATTTACTTATCTGGTTTCTTTTTGATTAATGGTCATAATACGTTTACAACATATCTTTTTCTCATTGGGTAGTATAGTCAACTAGTCAACTCATAATTAGTTCTATACCTTCAAATCCTTGTAGCCTTGTTATCAGTTGCTTAAGTTTATGGGACATTAAAGACTCATGTTATCCTTAATATTAACTTCTATGGAGCTCTCTTTCTCTTGCTTGTTCTCTCTCTTTCTTGCTCGCATGCAGTCACTATCTCTCTCCCTCTCTTTTTCTTTCTCTGTCCATGCTACTATTAAAAATGTGCTTGAGACTTTTCCCAGAAGAATCCTGTCTCCATTCATTTATTTTAGATCATATAAAATCTTAACCATTTATCTAGTATATTAATAAATGAAGATGATATTAATCATTTTCTAGCATATGAGTTTATGACTTTTATCTTAATATATGTCCTTTATAAAGGTAATGCAAGTATTTAGTAATTGTACAAAAATATTAATAATTTGACACATTTTAAATTTAAAATAAAATGGTATGATTTTGTGAGGCATAAATTTATTGTCAAAGATTTAGATTTTATAGATTTTTGACATAGTTTATTTACAGTTTTTTATATTTTGGCAGCTATGAAAGTTTTTTTATAAATATTTTGCAAGCTATGAAGGTTTATCTTTTCCCTCATCGATGCATTTGCCCCCTTCAAAGAATAAAAAAAAAAAATCTACATCTGTCTTAACAAAATTTTAATTAATTTGTTTCATGTTTACTACATTTTTAATCTTATTACATTATGTCGTAGTAAGGCTTATGTGCAAAATATAAATATTTTGCTCGATTTAGAACTTTTAATAAATTTTAAGTTCTAAATAAGAGAATTTAAATTTCTATTTAAGTCATATGTTTACTTTCAATGTTTTAGAGTGCATGGATTTTTTGATATTGTTTGTTTACAAATTTTTATGATTTTAAATTATTTTGATTTTGTTATAGTTGTTTGAAAAATATGCTTATTACATTGTACAACAAAAATTTGGGTTCCAGCCAAGTTGGTCAGCTTTACACTAAGTCGGCTCGATTCAAGTTAAGCTAATTTGATCTACTCAATCTTAGCTCAAAAGAGGACTGCTAGTTTACAAATGAACTCACCTCAAGGAGATAACTGCAATATATGAACTTGTCCCTATTATGCTAGTACGACTAATCAAGTCGGACCCAACAAATATGATCAATGAAGTCGGCCCTAATGACTAACCAATGGTTTTTTTTTTTGAGCTTGGCGGATGCATTCATTAAGTTAGACATTCTAATTAAGCTCCAACTTTTGCATTTTTTGCTTATTTTTGGAATAGTATTTAACTAATTCTATAATGCTCATGCCTCAACTCAAACTTATAATAAGGAGTCAAGGGGTGAGCTTAGTTTATGTAATTTTCTGTACTAAATGTTATTTTACAGAAATATCAGATTTTGAAGACTAAAAAGATGCTAGATGAGTGGAGAATGAGTGTGGTGATTCCTTTTTTAAGAAATAAAAGTGATGCAGAAGATTGTGCGAATTATAGAGGAATTAAGTTAATATGTCATACTTTAAAATTGTAGGAGAGAATTATGGAGCATAGGTTACAATGTGAAAGTAATTCTCAAATCAACTTGGATTCATGCTTGGTAGGTCTACTATGGAAGCTATATACCTTTATTGAGAGGTTTGATGGAGAAGTATAGAGAGAATAAGGAGGATCTACATATGATATATATTAATTTAGAGAAAGTATATGATAAAGTTCCAAGAGAAGTGCTATGAAGAGTTTTAGAAAGGGGTTAATAATGCTTATATTCAAGTCATTAAGGATATGTGTGCATGAGCTGTTGCTTGCATTCAAACACAAGGTAGTTTGACATTGGGTTGAGATAACAAAAAATAGGTTGTTTACTGTTTCAAGAAAAGAACACGAATTAAAACTAGAACCAGAAAATGGGGAACCTGATTTCAGATTTGTTAGCTATCCAGGAAAGAACTACTTGCTGCTCCCAGGCTTCCAACCTACCCTACCTCGTACTCTGGTCTAGGAAGATGCAGATTTGTCCATAGGAAGTAGGACTGAGGTCGCCGTTCTTTCCTGAATCAGCTATGGTGGAATACCAGCAGCTATCCAAACTAATATCCTAATACATATGGATATCCATGGACACAGATCTCTAAACAACTTTGGCTTTGCTTTCAATTCTTATTGGAATTCACATGGAACCCAACCATAGGTGGTTAAAAACTTTTGTTTAAAATTGCACAATCAAATGTGTGCCATGATGCCCGTCTCAACACAATTTTGAAAAAAAAAAAAAAAAACTGCAATGAGGCGTATGCCTCAGCTTGATGAGTTATACACCTCAGTGGGGTTAAGGAGCACTTAGGGTGTGCTTTTATGCAATTTGTAAGAGTCGAAAGCCTCAAAAACTAAAATTTTATGTGTTTTAAAAATCTAAGTTATAAATTTGATCTATTAAATAAATCCTATTTTGTTATGTCTCTATACCTAAACCTAAAATAAATAGAACCGAGAACTACAATTGTATGTGCCTCCTCTACTTTTGGCTACATTTTGCACTCTTACCCATTGCTCGCACTCATAGCGGCACTTGAGGATGAGGGAGAAGAGAAAGAAACTTACTATAATGATTAATTAAGATCCACTAGCTGATTAGAGTGCTGAAAATTTTTGAATTCATAAATTATAATCTTAGTGACTTTGACTACTTGTTTATGTTGAATTATGAGTGGGAAAGACTTAGTTTTATGATTTTACTTCGGTTGGATATGATCATATTTGGATATTATTATGCTACTTATTATTTAATTTTTTAATTAATTTAATAGTTTAATTTTGAGGCTTATGCCTCTAAACGCTTCAAGGCTTACGCATCGCCTTGCAGATAGAAAATACCTCAATATTTGATTGCGTAGTTTTAAGCCTTGGTTGGAATAAAATAATTCATTTGGGGCAACACGATACTGTGCCCATTACGCTTTGCGCCTTGCAAATTGTTGGCTAGGTCTCAACAATCAACATTCCACAAGAGGTCTTTGAGTGTTAGGGATTGATTATGGCCGAGTCTTAGAATACTCTATGATCATCTTGTTAAATAAATTAAAAAAAAAGAAATTAAAAAAAGAAGAGAAAAGAAAAAAAAATGAAAATTCACTAAAGGATATGACCCCGCTTCCTCCCGCAATCAACCCATGCGCACGACCGCGCATCTAGGCGGCCCATCTCCATTCGCGCGAACTCACCCCTTGACCCGCCACTCCCATGTCCGATCCCTAGCCTGAGTTCGCGTCTTGTTCTGTCCCGAATGAGTGCAATTTAAACTCGTGATTTCAATGCTGACAATTGAGTATTGTAATTAATAAGATCTTTCTCAAATAAGATTGATTAATTATTAGTAGATTCTAGCCACATATGAAGACTTGAAGACCTAGATACTGACCAGGAATAATTGATTTGAAGTCCTCGCACCATCATATCTTTGATCCAACTGGGAAGAACAAAGGCAAATGCCTGCCGACACCTCTCTAGGCAGGGGTGGGATGTTGGGAGGTTGTCAAAATTTTGAGAAATAAAAAATAAAATTAAAATAATGATATAAATGAATTATAATTATAAAGTAACAATAAAAAATGTAATAATAATGAAAAATAATAATAAAAAAAGAGGAGCTTATTTTATATGAATATTTTTAGGTTTGAGAGTAAAAAAAATCTGATTCTTGCTCAAATTATGTAAATATTCTTATAAAAATAAAATATATTAATATAAAAGAATAGAAAAATTATAAAAAAAACATAACAGAGAAAAGAAGAAGAAGAAAAAAAGAAGAAACCGCATTAAAATACAAAACTTTTGAAACAAAAGAACGTTTGCGTTAAACAACACGTTTCTTGTATATTAATCCAAACTATACAGAACATAAAGCTAATAATCAAACTGGCGTCCGATTTGGCCTTGCTCTTCTACCTGCAAGCAAGTAGAAAAATGCAAATTAAATACTACATAATATGCTAAAAAAAGAGGAAAGAAGAGCACTATCTAGTGCTGAAGCAAACAGAAAAATGCCGGAGTAAAAGAAAATCAATTAATGACTTGAATATATCAAAATTCATTTAAAAATCTTCCAAAACCAAATAAAACTAGTGGAAAACTCCTAAATGAAGCAGTAAGCCCCATCCAAACTAAAACTAATGTGCAACTCCTAAAAGGAGCATAAGCCCCAAACTAAACAAAATTAATGGGCAACTCCTAAAAGGAGCCATAAGCCTCAAGCTAAACAAACCTAATGGATCACTCCTAAAAAGAGAAATAAGCACCGAACTTTAACTACAACACACCAAAGTCAACAATAAACTATCACAGTCTACTTGGGATCCTTGAGAGGAGGTAACATATGGTTGCTAATCAGATTCCTTTGGTGCTACAGACACTGATTCATTAGTGTTGGTAGACTGAGATCACTGGTGTACCAAGGATGTTGGAACCGTAGGATCTTGATGGGTCTATTTCCATCCCCCAACTTCCCCATATTAACCAAAATGAATCATGGATTATCAAGTCTAAATTTATAATGTAACGAATCGACTCATCTTTAATCAAGAGTGCTCTCCCTAGAAGTGGGAGGGGTAATTAACTACGAGGGTTTGCGCTCTAGGAAGTAAGGACGTCAGATTTAAATAAACCCCGATATGAGCATGGGGAAATCTAGTTATTTAAAAATCAATCTACCTTAAGAAAAATGAGAACCTTAAGCATGGAATTTTGGATTCATACTAAAATCATTTTTTTGAGCAAACACTTTTTCTCCTCACCTTTCTAATAATAGAGAAAATCCATCCTAAATACTAGGGAATCCGCCCTAAAATCCTCAGGATAACTTGAAACTAAACTCTAAAAGAAACCCTCCCTTCACAAAAAAGGCATGGGTATTTATGCATAGCTATTCCCAATAACAACTAGGAGCCATAATTACTAAATTGATCCTGTGAAGATAAGGAAAGAAAATAACCATTTACTAATTAACTAATGGAGGAACAGACCGCTAAAGTCTAAAAGCAATTTATAACTATGTCATGTCTGTCCTCCTGTGATGGAAATATCCTCTCTAAATAATGAAAAAGAACATACGAGCTTTGGAACCTATACATTCTACTTGGTAAGTAGCAATTTGTAAGTACCAGGAGGTTACCAAGCATTAGTGATTCATTGCCTGCCTTATTCCTGCGTTGACAAGGTTTGTGCTGCTTTCGTGCCTGAGATGCTTGAATAATATGGTAAGTTGTAGTTGCTTGTAATGTTGCATGCATGCTATCAGTTGCGGATCTACAGTGGGGGCCCTGGGGGCACGGGCCCCACTGGCCAAACAATTAAATTAAATTTATTTTAAATTATATTAATATAATAATTAATATATAAGGATTAAATCTAATTTCTAATCTAATAAGCCATCCGCCTCCGAGCTCCGTTTTTCTTCCAAATTTTTTTTTTCCATATGACTCAGACCAATTCCTTGCCAGGGTCGAGCTTCTCGGACATCTGTTCGAGCTTGTTTAAAAAATCCATGTTTGAGCTGACAGTTCAAGCTCGTTTATTTTTGGACTAGTCAAGCGGGCTCGCTAAGACAAAACTAACGGACTCATTCAACGGTTCAGCCCAAACAATCCTTCTTGGTCCTACTGTCCCCCCTCTGACTTTGTCCCCCTTCCCTCAGTATCAAGATAAACTTTTATTTATCTAGCATAACAATTAAAATCTAGGTAAATTAACTAAAGCTGCCCAATTTTTTTTAAATAATAAGAAAAAGATGTGTGCATAAAAAGACAATAAATTAATTAACAAATAAAAAGTTTTAATAAATCTTAGTAACTTAATTAATTTAAGAGGGTTAACTTTAAATTTTTTTATTATTTATGATTTTCTTTAACTAATGTGAATCATTACGTCAAATTAATTTAGAAATAGGTAGAATATTATCTTATAATTTAAATATAGTTAATCTAAATATAATTTAAAATTAAGACTTAATTCAATTAATTCAAATAAAATATTCCTAAGTATAAAATTAATTTATTTGAACTCAATTTGTTAACATTCTTAATTTCTTAATGAATGATAAATGATATATATAATTACATTAAAAAATAATATTTTTAAAAATAATTTAATGACTAGTACTAATTTGTGCCCCCATTAAAATTTTTTTTTGGCTCCGCCCCTGCATGCTATTTGCCCACATTTCTATTACAAGACAACTCTGCAGGCATAGCTCAACCATACCATACAAAAGCAGGTGAGCATCTAAAAATTGTTGAAGCAACATCCATATGCACATATTGCTTATATTTATGTATGTTCTGTTTAATTGCCAAGGTTTTAACTTTTATCATTCAGCCTAACTAAATCTAATCTTTCATCTGAATATTAATACAGCTTTCTTGGTGCAAAGAACTGGGTGGACAAAAGATTTAGATGTTTTTCTTGGGTGGTTATCAAGAGTACAATTTTCTGGTGGCGGTTTTGGTGATGCTGCTATAGCTGAAGGCCTTTCTGATGCATTGACGGTATTAAGTTAACACTTTTGATGGACCTATGCTATATGACACCCTTTATTTATTTATTTTTAATGTTTAAAGTTTGGTAGTATTACTTCTTGGCTCCACCTGGCTTAACCCAACAATATGGCGGCATGAAGTAGTAAAGATTTATGTATAAACAAGGGTAACAAGTTCATCTGTACGCAATCTTCAATCTTTTCAGGTTACTGTTGATAAAGAATTTTTCTAAACTCATTAGATAATCAGAATTTTGCACAGCTTTTTGCTAACACATTCAAGATTTATTCACAATCATTTGCAAAACTGATCATACGGCAAAAGATAGGTATTGCATAATAAAGTCCTGAAATATAGAACTATCCATATAGGGTTGGGATTGCCAGCGAAAAAAAAAACATGAAATGGCAGCACGAAGAATATATATTCGACACCCAGAAACAAAATTTTTAACGAGGTTGGAATCTCTAAGAAGTGTATTATCTAGTGTTAAATTTTCCTTGCCAAAAATCACCGTGTTTCCTAGTACGAACACTTGTATGCTTTTTTCTGTGCAACAAGCTGTGTTTATAATGTTAAATAAAACAAGACATGAATCCAATGTAATGTAAAATGAAATGTCTCTGGCTTTTTTTAACCACTGCATTGACACATACATATAGAAGAGGCAAGCCATGTTAGCCCAAACAAAATTTACTTCTAGTGATGCATATAAAAGTAGGTTCATGGTCGGATAAGGTAGTTGAAAGATTACTCTTGATATAAAATTCACTATAAAATATCTTATAATAGAAATTTTACCACGAAGAGAAAATCATATAAGAAAAAAAAAGTATTTAACACTCGCACAATGAGGTATATTAAAGTTGTAATTGATTTACTTAAACCCATTCACAGACAATAACCACGAGATTGTTTGACATCTTTTTTGTTTTATGATTTTTTATGTTGTTGTTGTTGTTGTAAGTTGATTAAAACTTGTTTGGTTGATTTTTATTTTTGTATTTAAAAAACAAAAATTAACATTACTACTCAGGTATCATGCTTGGATGCTCTTTCACTTGTTTTCAAAATAATGTTTTAATAATCAAATCTATACTAGCATTAAACGTTCTAGCTAGTTAATAATAGTGATAAAATTTAATATTGATTTTAAAATTATTAAATACTACTGTAAATTATAATTAGTTATATGTGCATTAAAAATTAATTAAAATAATTAAATTAATTTTTTTTATTACAATACCTCGTTTGTTTGTGATAAATTAATTCTAATCCTAAAGAGAACATAACTAATGCACTTGATAAACAATTACTTGTATTATTTGAATGCATTATTGCATCAAAAGATATCATTTATAGTTGTACAATAAAATAATTAAATAATCTTCAAAGAATAAGCCCCGACTATTAGTAAGTGTCCAATTTGGTTCTAGAGTTTCACACTGTCCCAATTTAGTTAATCGACTATTGAAAATTGAGCCAATTTAATCTCTCCGTAAGAAAATCTATCAAATTTAATGGATTATTATGTAGATCTCCCACTTTTCATAATGTGAAAGGAGAATTTAAGTAAAAACATTTAAATTTTTCTTTTTCATTAGTGGACTTTTTTTTGTAACAAGAGTTTTGCTGTTTTGTAACCAATTATACAATTTTTGTAATACTTAATTTGTAATTTTATAATCAACAACAACAACAACATCAAGCCTTTATCCCACTATGTGTGGTTCGCTACATGAATCTTTTTTTCTGTTGTGTCTTATTAAGTGTCAAATTTCCATTTAAATCTAATAAAGAAAAATTATTTCTTATATTTTCTAACCAAGTCTTTTTTAGATCTATCTCTGTAAGAACCGGTCCAGCCGATCGGTTCAATTGAACCGATTTTCTTTAGCAGATGGACTGGCTGAATGAAACGACGGAGCATAAATGCGAACCGAGCGGACGCAAATAGATCGCATGAGCATGCCTGGCGAAGCCGAAATGTGTGTTTTTGCGAAGGAACGTGTACGGGTGTTGAAAGTAGTGACTCCTCACGCGAGATAAGTTTATTCTGCTCCTTCCATTATCGTCAAATGAGAAAAATAATGGAGAGAAGAGGCGAGGGAGAAGGGCTTAGCATTTTGAACGAGAGCAACCGCTGAAAGGGGAAAACAATATGCTATGGTTTAGGGCTTGAGTTGACAGAGATTAGGAGGAAGAAATGTAAGGTATTTTATTTAATTTTATTATATATTTAACTAATATATCTATTAAATTTTAAAATAACTTAAGATCTTACCTAATGTCTAAATATTATTTATTAAATTACAAAATTCATAAGAATGAAAATAATTAACATTATTAAGAAGATTTAATTATATATATATATCAAAACAATTTAATTATAAATAGAAGATATAAAAAGGGATGGAGAGCATATGTTCAAATGAAATTTTATTCATAAATTAAGTTACTATTAATTTGAATAATTATAGAAAAATGAGTATTAAATTAATTAAGAAAAAGTGAAATTTATGTTATGCAAAGAAATAATAATAAGAGAACTAATTGAATATATTTAATAAATAAGTAGAGAAAGAAAAAGAGCAAAATTATGCAGTATAATTTGAACCCGTTTCTCTACCCGGGTCGGGTTAGGGTCGACCCGTTTTCCACCCGGGTCAGTTCGGGTTCAACCCGAACCCGACCCGTGACTCGAAATTGACACCCCTATATAGATTTATGCTAATTAAGAAAATATTATTTAACATGAACAAATATTCAATTTTAATTAGTAAATTAATTAGTTAATTAAAGAGAGTGAGAGCATAACATATATTTTAAATCTAATAATAAAAGAAAATCTTAATTAGTGAAATACTTTGTGATTATTTTAAAAATAAAAAAATATTTAAAAAGAAAAGAAATTTTAAAATGTTAAGTAAGAGAATTTAATAACAGTTGGTAAAATTGTTAAGATCTTTTATTTAGGAGACAATCTTTTGAACTTAAAGTAAAGAGTAAGAGTGAAAGATACTGAAGTTCAAGATGAGTACTCATATCTTTTAATTACAATAATGATATTTATTTCTCCTACACATGATGTATCAAGTACTGTTATTATGTAATTGTTCACTGTTAATGTTATATGATTTTTCTTTATTAAAAAAAATAGACCAAATTAAACTAGGATCATGTGAAGCTAGAAAACTTGAAATGAAATGTTACGGAGAAAGTAAATAATATGATTTATATAATTTGCTTGCATGTGAATGTTGACTGATGGAGCACACCCTCTTATCGCACTGGTTGAGGACGTAATGTACCAATGCATGTAAATGAAAAATGTTATTAAAAAAGAAAATAAAATGAAAAAGGAGTACCTTCATTGATATTAAATTATACGGTGACTCCTATGACGGTTGTATTATTTATGAGAAAGAAGAAGATATAAATAAAGATATTGTATATGCATAATATTTAAATTCTTGAAATGAAATGAAAAATAAATGGAATTACTTTATGATATGAAGTGAAATGCTCATACATATTGCTCCAATTACCTTGAGTTAATATAATTTAGAAGCATGTTTTACTCACTGAGTTGTGTCTTATTTTTAGTTGCTCTAATATTTTTAGGTATAATTTAATATAATCAAAGTGAATATAAGAGGTCAAAATGTATATCATATACGTGACACACCAAATGAAATGTAGCTAATTCATTTTGCATCAAGTTATATTTTTTGAAGTTTTAATGGCTCTTTTTGTGTATTGAAAATAGCTTTAGCAAATGACATTTAAATCACCATCCGACCGTCTGTTTCCATCTGGTTAGTTCGAGTCTTTGGGTCGGGTCATGACAACTTTTACCTTTCTTAACATATGCCAAATCTAATACATCTACTCTCCTAACTGGCATCGGAAGGCCGCCATTTTATGTAGTCATACCATCTAAGGAGACTCTCTCTAATCTTATCTTCCACTAGAGCTACTCTAATATTTTCACGTATATGCTCATTTCCTATCCTATTTCTAAGAGTACAACCACTCATCCACTTGTCTGTAACACTTGATTTAATATTATACTTATCTTTTAATGGCTAACGCTATAAAGCATTGCATGTCTCACCACCATCTTATAAAATTTTCCCTCAAGTTTGAGGGGGATTTTTCTATCATACAACAAGCCCGATGCATTCCTCCACTTCAACCATCCAACTTGAATTCTATTAATAATATCCCCATCTATCTCACCATCTTTTATAGAACTCTCCATAGCACTTTTCTTGGAACTTTATCATATGCTTTCTCTAAATCAATAAATATCATTTATAAATCCTCCTTATTCCCTTTATACTTATCAAACCTCTCAATAAATGTATAGCTTCCATGGTAGTTCTACCCGGCTTGAATCCAAATTGATTTTGAAAAACATTAGTATCACATCGTAACCTATGCTATATAACTTTCTTATTAATTTAAAAGTATGACATATTAACTTGATTCCTTTGTTTTTCGCATAATCTTATGCATCACCTTTATTCTTAAAAATAGGAATCAACACACTTATTTTTCACTCATCTGACATCTTTTTAGTCTTCAAAATAACATTAAAAAGTTTAATTAACCAACAAAATCCTCCTCTAAGTATTTTCACACCTTTATTAGAATATCATCAAGTCAAACGGCTTTCCGCAGTTCATTTTTCTTTAAAACCTCTATAACTTTGATTTTACTAACATGTCGGTAAAAATAAATATTTTTATTTTTTTAAAGGTGCTAAGGTCATTAAAGTCAATCATATTCTCACAATCTTTATTAAAAAGTTTAGCAAAATATCTCAGTTATTTTTGTTAATTATATTCTTTTAATAAAAATACTTTGTCTTTATCTTTAATGCACTTCACTTGACCTAAATTCTTACTACTCATATCTCTTTGTTTGGCTAACTTATACATATATCTTTCGCCCTCTAAGTATCTAATATATTAATATTAGGAGTTTTTTTCTTTGATACTCTAAGCACATTTTTTATAACATTCTTAATATCACTAGCTATTTTTTCCCATATAACATTTGCTTCCTCATGTACAAACAAAATCTTAAGATCTAAAATCTTACTCTAAAAAATATTTTAATTAATATTTTTTAAATGCCCACATCTAATTCTAAAACAACGATTTTCTTTATTTTTTATATTCTTCCCCTTCTTCTTAAAGTCAAAAACTAATAGGTGATGTTGGGTATATAAACTTTCACTAAGAATAATTTTACAATCTTTACAATTTAAACGATCTATTTTTCTTATAAGAAAACAATAAATTTGAGTCTTATTATATCCATTTTTATAAATGATGTGATACTTATCTCTTTTCTTAATAAGGTATTAGCAATTATAAAACTATAAGCTATAATAAAATCTAATATGGTCTTATCACCTTTATTAGTCGCTCCAAACCCATAGCCACCATAAATGCTTTTAAAATCTTCTATCTCTCTACTAAAATGTTCATTTAAATTTCCTCTAATAAGAACTCTTTATTCAAGAGGTATTTTTTATATTAATTCTTCCAAGTCATTCTAAAATTTTAATTTTGAACACATCCAATTTTATTAATTTTTACACCATTATCCTTCAAAATTTTATCTGTAATCATAACTACACCATTTCTTGTATGACTCCTACCAGAATACCATAGTTTAACTCATAAACTATCAATTTTTTTAGCCTTCTCTTCAATCCATTTTGTTTTTATTAATGCATAAAATATTTATCTTTTTATGAATTATAATATATTTTAATTTCATTAATTTACCTATAAGAAAATTGATATTCTAAGTTCATATCCTAACTTTAGATTCACGAATTAGATTCTTTGTCCACATCCGTCAATGATGTGGGAACCCTTGCGAGCATCGGTGCAGCGACCATTGTACACTTCTCATTGTATTAAGGTCATATAACGTGTCGCTTGCGGGGAACACCCTAACATTATCACAATGTATTAATGGGTTCATATTTTGAATATTCAACAAGTTTTACACTGGCTATCCATTAGCTAAAGCAACCCTCATTTTTTGTAATAAGAGTTTTGGAGTTTTGCATGAGCTTCCATTTATATTTTACTTAAAAGACTTTTTTATTATCTTTTCTCAGTTATTATTTTGTAGGTTATTAGCTTTCATATTTATTTTTATATTTATTATAATTTATTAAATAATTAAATAGAATTAGTATAAATAATATGATCTTCAATACACTTGCACCATCTAAAATGCCCTCACATTTAACTTTGGTATTGTTTTAAACTATATTTTAGGTCCTGGGATCTAGTTAGATCAATTGTCAATAGATTAGGGACTAAATTGGGCTACCATGCAATTCTAGAAATAAATTAGGCACTTGCTAATAGTTGGAAGATAATTTGGGCTAATCTACAATAATCTTATATAACATTAACAAATTAATTATCAAATCATATAAACACATATTTGTTTTCCTATGTAATAGTTGGTAAAATGATAGCTATGATGCACCGACACACCTCTTGAAGAGAGAATACAGTGTCGGATACGGACATGTGTTCGACACGGCTAGCACACGTGTCAGACATGGTAGACACGTGTCTGTTTAAAATAATGTTTAAATTTAACTTGACACGGCTGAGACACATTTCGGACACGGCTGGGACACGTGTTGGACACAACTAGGACACGCGCCCCTGTGACTTCATCTTTTAGCACTCCAGTTGCTTAGCAGCCTACCTAAGCTGTATTCATTTTAGCATGCCTTTGAAGTGTTATGCTATCATATCTATGTTCCTGTTATTTTCTGAATCACATGTCCAATCCAAATGATGATTTTACAATTTAGTGTCTTCAATGGAATACTTGTCTGTACAACAACAACAACAACAACATCAAGCCTTTATCCCACTACGTGGGGTTGGCTACATGAATCCTTTTTCTCCATTGTGTCCTATTAAAAGTCAAATTCCCATTTAAATCTAATAAAGAAAGGTCATTCCTAATATTTTCTAACCAAGTCTTTTTAGGTCTACCCCTACCTTTCTTAACACCAGGTTGACCTCTATAATTCAAGTTTACCTTCAACTCCCTCTCTAGTCTTGTTAACAAGAAGAATATCATCAGCAAAAAGCATACACCAAGGTACATCCTCTTGCAATTGTCTAGTGAGAACATCCATGACTAAAGCAAAAAGATATGGGCTTAAGGCTGATCCTTGATGTAACCCAACCGAAATAGGGAAATACTTGGTCAATCCACCTTGTGTTTGAACACAAGTAATAGCTCCTTCATACATATCTTTAATGATTTGAATATAAGCATTATTGACTCCTTTCTTTTCAAGAACTCTCCATAACACTAAGTAATACTTGTCTGTACGGTTTAAAAAATTTCATCCCAACGTTGCATTTGACAATTTAGAATTTACTTGCTTATTGGAATAATGTGTCTCTTCTCATTGGAGGTTTTATTTAACACTTTTTTTGCATGTTTATCCGATTGTTCTTTTCTACAAGATAACTTAGAAATGTTTTTGTTTGCTTTATGTTTTGGAGAGCTTTTGACTATCATCTGCTGCTGCTTTCAGATGTTCACAGTTTCAACAAATGGCAGCCAGAGCCTTCAAAATCTTGATTTTCAGAAACATTGCATCCTTGTTGCTGCAAGCAATCCTTATCCACTATCCAGTCCAGTCTATTTTCCTCCTAACCCAACCACAGAGCAGAGTGATAATCCTGATGCACAGACTGGGACATGTCTTGGTGATGCAGAGGGTGTTGCAAAGTCATTTGGTCAGGTAATCCACATATTGTATCGTTTCAAAGTTCACGTCCATTTGGCAGATCTGGTTTCTATTCAGATTTCGTTTTTTTTTCAGTGCTTTATATCATTGTCGGTGCTTTGTCCTCGGCAACTTCCAAAACTCAAAGCAATATATATTGCGGTATGCGTATCAACTCATTATAGCATCTTGTAATTTCTGGAATTTTGCTATATTTGAGATCATTTTAACTTCACCGCTAGGATTCTTTCTTTATACTTTATTGTTCTTTCTGTCTGTCTCTCCATAGCCATTAGTCAGTGTCCTTAATTAATTTAATAATTTTTTTGGGCTTTTTTACTATGTTTCAATTTTATTTTTCTACTGAATGAAATCATCACGATGAACTTATTGTTTGATCTTTATATTATAAACATTGATGCACAAATAATCACTGCTCAGTCATGACGAAAGGAAATGAAATAGCAATATGGAGTGTTAGCAGCACATTATAGAAAAGGATTGTTATGGAGATTATGGATGGGAGAAATCAGTAGCTAGAAATGAAATTGTAAGTGGGCAGTGGCTAATGAAATTGTTCGTTAGGTGATTTGTTTGTTTGTTGTGATTAAGAGCACACATTTTCTACCTAGAAACACCCTCTCTTTATATTGTATTTTTATTCAAACAAATAAATTACTTTCAAGTTTATAACATGAGAAAATACATACATGGTCCCTATAAACTCAGCCTGAGAAAATGAATTACTTTTAAGACTTGCATGGAGTCCCTCTAAATGAGTTTAACAACTTGGATGAAATCCCATTAAAGACTATGGTCCGCATAGATTTTATTCAGGGATTGTATGATTGCAAGTGTTAAATTCTGTAGAATCTTAAATACAGTGTATTTTGAATACAATATATTTGAAGTTTAGTGGATTATATTTTGAATACTGTGTATTTCTTATTCAAAAATTGATCTTCTTTTTACTTATGCTATTTAACATAATATGATTTGTCATTTTTTTAAGAATGAAAAATGAGGATTTGTAAAGCTACCCAGTTGGGAATGTTGATGATGTTTGAATAAGAAACAAAAATAATAAGAAATGTTCATATAAGCCATGACCATCTAATTATACAGGGAAAGCGCAATCCTCGAGCTGCAGATCCAACTGTTGATAATGCTAGCAACCCTCATTTTACTGTTTTACTCTCTGAGAACTTTATGGAGGCCCGAGCTGCTCTAAGCCGTCCGGTGATTGGAAGTTTGGCAACTGCCCAAAGTGTTGTGAAAATGGATGCTGCTCCTACAGGTGCTGCTCCATGGACTTCTTCAACTTCTCTTCAATCAGGTAATTATCAAGCTCGCAGCTTAGTAACAAAATAATATTCAGAATGCTTGGTTTTAGTAACTAAAGGCTTCTGTCTTTTCACTGATTTTGTGCATTTTCATGCGAAATAGTTGTCTTTGTAGCATAATTTTCTGATTTATTAAATGATTATTGGTGCATACAATTAGCAGCCACAGTGATATACTCTGTTATCTATTCTAACTCGTATACTGCAGCTAAACCTTTTGTAACTCTTCCAATATACCCTTATAATAAGAAAAACATATATTTAAAGACTTTTGGCAAGTGCACATAAATATATGATTTTGGTGATAGACTTAAGACAAGTGCAGACTGAGAGAAGATCAAATCACAAGTTAAATTATTTAACTCAAACTCAATGGTATGCACCAGAAAGTTAACTGCAATTATAAAAGTTGAATTCACAAGTATAGGACATGAAATTTACAGTGCAATAAGTTAATGCTTGAAAGTAAATAAAGGTCTATAAAGGTCAGAGAGAGCACTTCTTATGTCTATAAAGAGGAGTACCTATTCTTTCTATAGCTAGAGAGAGAAACTCCCGGTTTTTTGTTACTCTTTTTTCAAATTTCATCGTCTTCTAACCGTTGGCGGGATTTCAGCACGGGATGGAGGGGCGGCCGCCGGCCAACTCTGACGGTCGGATGGATATGACTGCTCATCCTATCACCACTTGTGTCATTTCCAAGTCATGTGCACCTTCACGGGATATTGTTGGATCACCCAGGCTCGGCTTCTTCAACGGGCCTTTGGTCATCAAAGAACCAAAGTAAATCATTTTTACTTCTCCACCTCCTGTTCCGGGTAAGGGAAAGGAGAAACAAATTGTTGATGAAGTTCAGAACTTTTCTCCTCTTAAGAGTAATGTGTCTAAATCAAAGGATTTTGGATCTTCTTCGTCGAACATGAAATTGTTTGTCAAGAGGTTTGGTAACATTCCTAAATCTGATTCATTTTTGGAGGGATCTCCATCAGTCCAATTGAAGGAGTTGAGTCCTTCAGACGTTCGTAAAATTGCTCCAACAAGTATTGTTGATGCTGAAGTTCCAGTAAATAATGCTAATGATGGTCCAAAAATGGGGGATAAAAATCTGAATAATCCATGGAGTAAGCGGCCTTACATTAAAGTTGATTTGTCCAAGGAGGATCAATTTTTATCTGAAGATGGTTTGTCCGTTAGATTATATGAACCAAGTGTGAACATTAATTCAAACAAGCTTCAATGCTCGGTGGTGGTGAAGGTATTTGGCAAGTTCACTCCAATTTAGATGGTAGCTGATGAATTACGTCGACAATGGTCCAAGTTTGGTAAATTCCATTTAACGGTGCTAGGTTATGGTTGGGTGCTATGTTCTTTTTACTCTAATGAAGCCATGGAGAATGTCTTATTTGGTGGCCCTTTGTTCGTGAACGGACACATTGTAGGTATTGACAAATGGAGCCCAAAATTCTCACCTGATTCATTGAAAGGCTTGTCTTCTCCTGTTTGGGTTAGAATGCCCAACCTTCCTCTTTACTGCTGGGATGAAGTTAACGTGGCAAGGATTGCTTCTTTGATTGGAATCCCTGTACTCATTGATGGTGACATGTTTCAATGGGGGTGAAGGGAATTTGCTAGAGTATGTGTCAGAGTAGAACTTGACAAATAACTATCCTTGGGAGTGTGGGTGGAAGGGATGAATGGATGCTTTTTTTCAAAAAGTGGAGTACGAGAAGATCTCAACATTTTGTCAAGTTTGTGTACAAGCTAATGAGCAGTTATATTCTAACTCTAATGAAATATCTTATGGGCCTTGGATGTTGGTAAATAATAGAAGAAGAAATAGAAGGAATTGGGGAACTCAGAAAACTGTGAATATCCAGAAAACTAAACCTGTCTCAAGAAAACGTGTACCTAAAGTGTTGATTCCAACTCATGAGGAAGTTCAGGAAGAAATGATTGAAGATCCAATTGCCAAGGTTACTGAATCGACTATGGCAGATTTAATTTAACAAGGTGTAAAGGATCAGGTTATTAAGGAGATTACATCACTTTCAGATTTATTGGTTGGTAATTCTGCTGATAAACAGAGGAGAGATTCTTCTAGTAAGGAGAATAACTTGTGTTCCCCTTGCAATGTTGCAGTGAAGGAATGTAATAGCTTTAGTATCCTTGCTTCTATGGATGGAGAAGAGGACACTATGGAAGAAAAATCAGACTTTGTTTTAACAGAAATGGAGGAAGGCGAGCTGATTGAGGTTGAGGTGGTCGAGACAGAAGCTACGGTCATACTTCCAGAACACAATGTGGATGAACAAGCTGAATTGGAATTCAAAACGAAGGATCAAGGAGGAATGGGTATGACTGTCTCTGAAGGTAATAAACCAAAACTTCTTAAAGAACTTAGGTCTCTAGGACCTTTGAATTCTTCTTCTAGGCTGAAAAAGGGATTGAACAAGAAGAGGAGCGGGGTCCTTCCCCCTCTTTGACTTAATGAGTTCCTTAGCCATTTGGAACTGTAAGGGGCCTAACAAAAGAGAGGAGGGAAAAATTCAAATTTTCTCAAGGGTCATTAGAAATGAAAAACTTTATGAACAACAATGATTTGCATAATATAGGGATTGTTAGTCCCAAATTCACTTGGTGTAATAATAAGAAGGGTAATGCTAGGATTTTGGAAAGACTTGATAGATGTTTGCTTAACTCCAAGGCGTTGGAAATGGTTTATCAAGCTCCAGTTAGGCATTTTCCAAGGGTTGCCTCCGACCATTGTCCCATTGTTTTGAAAATCTTCAATATAGAATTTTGTCATAACAATGTATTGAGATTTGAGGACGTTTGGTTATCTTATCCGGCATCAGCAGCAGTTGTAAAAAAATCTTGGAACAAATTTGCTAGTGGAAATGCAATGGAAGCCCTCAACAAAAGAATTTATAGATCTCTTAGAGCTTTTGTTTTTTTTTTTTGGAGCAAAGCAAAACACAAGGATCTATTGGAACTCAAGGAGAATTTGAAAAAGGAAATTGAAAAATTACAACTTCAAGAATCAATTGGTAGCAATTTTACTGAAGAAAAACTTCTATTATTGAGATCCAAAATCAATGATTTGAATATCACTCTAGCCCGCTTGAACGCATGGTGGAAACAAAGAGCCAAGGTTAAATGGCTTAGAGAAGGAGATATCAATTCAAATTTTTTTCAAGCTTTTGCCAATGGAAGAAGGAATGAGAATGTTATAAATCAAATAAAGAATAAGGAAGGACTTCTAGTGGAGGATCTCTTGTCTATTAGAGAGGTTTTTTTCAACTACTTTGGGAAAAAATGGAGACATAGTGGATGTTGCTTGGATTGCTGGCCTTCTTCACCAAAATTTTTAAGCAAAGAGTGTAACTTTCTTGATCATGACTTTTTTTTTGAGTAGGTGGAAACAGTTGTTAAAAGCCTTGGGCATAATATTTCTTCCGGAATGGATATCTTACTCATTCATCAAAGCTTATTGGAAGATGATTGGTAAAGACATTTGGCAAGCAATCTATCTTTTCTTATCTTCGGGTAAGATGTGCTCTAAATGGAAAGAACGTTGGTAGTGCTCATTCCTAAAGTGAGTAACCCTCTTCTTCCATCAAACTTTAGGCCAATTAGCCTTTGTATGTCAACTTATAAAATTGTTGCAAAAGTATTGTTGAACAGATTGATGAAAGTAATTAACTCATTGGTTATGGATGTTCAATCGGGTTTTGTCAAAGGGAGATCTTTATCGGATCACATCCTCCTTGCACAGGAAATCTTCCACAAGTTTAGATTATCTAAATCTAAAAAAGGTTTGATTGCTATCAAGGTTGACATGGAGCAGGCGTATGACAATATAGCTTGGGAAACTCTTAAGCAAGTTCTAAAGTCTTTTGGCTTTTCAAAGAATTTTTCTGAACTATTGATGGAATGTGTTGTAGATTATTCTTTTTCAATTCAAATTAATGGGGCTAGTTCAAGTTGGATCAAAGGAAAGAGTGGTTTTAGACAGGGTTGTCCACTATCTCCATACCTCTTCATCTTATATTCTCAGCTACTTACAAATGCCTTTGTGTTGAAGGGAAGAAATCTGGGAATAAAAACAGCTCCGTTGGCTCCCAAAATTTGTCATCTTATGTTTGCCGATGACATCCTAATATTCTCTGAAGCAATGATTGGTCATCTGAGTATAATTCAGAAAGTTTTAAATGACTATTGCTGCTAGACGTGACAGTTGATTAATACGAAAAAATCTGCAATTATGTTTGGAAAATCAGTGGGAAGGAATCGGAGAAGGTGTGCATCTAATCTTTTGGGGTTCAAGGAGGTGAAAGATATGCATTATCTGGGTATCAAGATGTCCTTAAGAAGACTGAAATCTTCTATTTTCCTGCACATTTGATGTAAGCAAAAAATATAGGGGACCCTATATTTTTTGCTTAACAAAAATTAGGCTCGATTGACACCGACAAAGCAAAGACTAGAAGAGGAAAGAACAAACTCTTACAATTCAAATAAAACTCAAAAGACGAAATTACAACGACGACGACTTGCAAACTTAAAATTAAAAGACGACACCCTAAAGTTGCTTCACTTAGAGAAGAAGGATACAGGTGGAGTGGCACTTGCGGAGAGATGAAAGAGATTAGAAGCCCGAGAAGAAAGGTTGGAAATTATGTATTGAATCAGAACCAGGAACCAAGGAGACAGCCACGGGAGACGAGGGGAACCGCACGGACTGAGAGCCACGGCCACGGGAAACGAGGGACGGTCACGGAAGAAGGAGCCCAGCCGTGAGATCCCAAGAGGCAAACACAAAATACTAAAAGCCATGAGGGAACCAAGGAGTCACCTCATGGGAAAAGCAAATTCTTGGAATTCCAAAGGCCGGTTTGGAATTCCAAGAGACAAACATTAAACAAACATAAAAAGCATAAAATTACATTAATTAAAAGATAATAAATGAACTAAAATGTTAACTCATAATGAG